TATATATATAATATACATATATATAATATATGTATATCTATACGCGCAGACACACACATATATATATATATATATATATATATATATATGGATACATACTTACATATATTTATATATGTATATATATATATAAATATAGATTTATATATATATCCATATGTCCAAATATATATATATATATGTGTGTGTGTGTGTATCCATATGTATATATCCTATATATATGTATGTATATATATAAATATGTATATATGTGAAATATATTATATATAGTGAAATATATTATATATAGTGAAATATATTTACATATATATTATATAATTATATATATATATAATATATTTCACATATATATATATGTTAAAAATATTATATAAATATATATATTTATATATTATATATTTATATATTTATATATGTATAACTATACGCGCACACACACAAACACATATATTTATATATATAAGTGGATACATACATATATGCATATATTTATATATATATATATATATATATTTATGTATCCATATATATATATTTACATATATCTATATATATATGTATGTATGTATGTATATATAATATATATGTATATATAATATATATGTATATATATATATATATCTATATCTATACGCACACACACATACACACAAACATACAAACAGACACACACACATATATATATTCATATATATATATATATATATATGGATACATTCGTACATACATACATACCTACCTACATATATATATATATATACGTATCAATATATTTATATTTATATATATGTATATATAAATATATACGTATCAATATATATATATATGTATATATATAAGCATATATATATATATATGTGTGTGTGTGTGTATCCATATATATACATATATATACATATAAATATATGGATTCATACATATATATATATATATATATGTGTGTGTGTGTGAGTATATCCATAAATATGTATATATGGATACATACATATATATATTTATATATATATAATTATATATATTCATATACAAACATACACACATACATACATACATATATATGTATATATATATATATTAATGCACACACACACATATATATATATAAATATATATATGTATATGTTTGTATTTTATTGATCTATTCAGGTATCCATATTCATCCGAAATATTGAACGCGAGTCTGATTCGTCCGTCCCTTGTATCATATATAGTATCAACGCCGTGAATGCGGAGAGTCTGAGCCGGCACAGTATCACAGCGGTATTGACTGTAGGAAGAAACATCCTCGATGACAAAAGTTTCTTATCGGAGAAGAATATTGCGCATATGGTACGACTACTTTGGATTTGTGTATTTTCTAATCAAGTCGACACCCACCTGTTAGAATATACAGGGATGAGTAACTATTATACCTAGCATAAAGTAGGTTCATATGTCACGTGTATAAAGCCCACGGTAATGTGTTGTGTATGGGTTCGTTCTATGTGCTCTTGCACATGTATACAAACTTAATCGTTTGAATTGGATACCATCCGATGGTGCGGCATAGGGATCGTATAGTACTTTTCAGTAGTCAAAACGAGTGGATTGCCAGCGCGATGTTGGGCTATATGTGTTTGTACCGGACTCAAGATACACGTTCATTATTTGCGTATCAATATCGTATTCAGACCATGTGCACTCCAGGCAAGTCTTGTAAGCGCACGCTCCGCGTGTGACGTTATTGGCATATGCGCTCGTATACATTAACGAGATAGCTCATAGCCCTGCGTGCAAATACGGTTGTTGTCAGGTAATCGCCATAGACGATGAAGAAGACGTGGACTTCATGGCTGAACTTGAAGATGTCCTGAGCTTCATAGACACTCAGCTGGCCACAGACAATGGGCGTGTGCTCGTACACTGGTAAGCATAGCGGACGAGTATAATACGCTCTAGCAGTGTTCTCAGTCTGATATTTTAGGCAGTCAGACACCTATGTACAGATTTATGTTATGTTTACCTCCAGGTATCGCATGTACATACACACCAATGATCGCGCATATGTATGTAGCTGTGTACGCATATGCAGACATTCATGTAACGTTATGCATGTACCGTAATCGAAGACGCAGGTGTGTATCGAGCTAGGACTCATATGCATACATAGCCGTACATAGTGATACACTACTACACATGTTATTGTTTTCTTTGAGTTATCCGTTTATCATGAGCACGCCGAACTGTCAGTGCCCGCTACTGCAAAGAACGTTTGTACACACAATACCGGTCTACATTATCGCAAGCCCTGACCTATGCATTGGCTCAAGTGTATTGCGAATCACGCGTTCAAATTGTGTTGGTACATACACCCGTACTACATTTATATATATCTACACATCTGGTTCATTTGTGTGTGAATGGTTTTGCCGATTCGTCGCTTTTGTTGGCTGTCTAGCACGTGCATACGTGATCTCCTCTTACAATCGTTTCCACGCGCTCAAACACGCAAAGGTCAGTTCTGTTGCGAAGGTTGCTTTAAACAGCCAGCATCTACTGGGTTGCTTAAAATTTACGTACGTCTATACACACACATAGACTACCCTTTAATTCTGTAGATAATATTGTCTTAAACAGCCAGTATCACGGGGTTGTTTATAATTTACGTACATTTATGCACACACATTTACACTACTCTTTAATTCTGTTGCTAAGATTGCCTTATGCAGCCAGCATCTACTGAATGCTTGTGCACGCATATATACATCACTCTAAAGTTCACAGTCACCCCTGGCATATCCACACAGTCACGCCGGCGTTTCGAGATCTGCGGCCATCACATGTGCCTATCTTATGCGTAAAGAATCGCTGAGTGTCGAGGACGCACTCGAGAAGATCAGGCAGAACCACCCCACAGCATGGTATGTGTTGCTGATGTTCCACTGTACGCTATACACATACACATACACACACATATATATATATGTATATATATATATATATGTATATATATATATATATGTATATATACATGTATATATATATATATATTTATATGTATATATATATGTATATATACATGTATATATATATATACATACATGTATATATAGCGCTTCATTCAGCGAAGATGTTGTGGTGCCTCGAAATGCTATGTCATGTCTGCAGGAAAGAACAATACCACCTCACTACACGTGATTTACAGCTGCTAAACTACACGCGTGGTTGGGTGCGTTTCTGGGGGCATGCACCGGTCTGCGCGTGCCAAGCCTCACGGGTCTAGGTAGCTGATCCTGTTGTCGTGTGTGTCTGTGTATGTTCATTGGTGTTTGACTGAATATTGCGTTGATGATTGGCCGTGTGTGTGTGCACACTCTGAACGCGTATTAACGTCCACGCTCATCGGATAGTTCAGCTGAGTGTGTTGGTGCATACTCGATTATGTCAAGGATGGTTTCGTGCGCCATTGCCACTGCATAACTCAGGCCACCAAATTAGTTTGTCCAATAAATTCAACCGGGTGGCTATGCACAACGTATCGGCTATTTAAACTCATCACTTCAGCGCTTCTGCTTGTGCTCGCGAATAGGCACGCCTGCTTCATTGGAAACAAATACCTTTTTTGTACATCATACGACTTGTCCCCATCAAGTAACGTTCTACACGGACTTTGTGGTCTATTGCTAACGTTTATATTGCCACTATGTCGCCAGTCCCAACGACGGGTTCTTGAGACAGCTGTCCCTATTCGAACGCATGTCGTGGAAGATAGACAGTGACAACGCCTACTACTGCTACTACCTGTCACAGCTCATGGCTCAGCGAAGGTTAGGTATGCCTGTTCAAGCACGGTAGTGTCAAGTATTGTATTGCAGCAATGATATGATATGTAGACAGCACATCTTGTATATATTACTGTGATTGCAGATCGATCGTACTATGTATGTGTGATATGAAGCGGCATACTATGTAAGTGTGATTTGAAATGTCATACTATGTATGTGTGAAATATAGTGTCGACAACGATATTAAATTTTACTGGTACTCTCTATCACAGCTGGTTTCAACGAAGGAAAAGTAAGTGTGTTTTAAGCATCAAGCACGGAATAGGCATACTTGCCAACACACGAATATATATGCTCACTCACTCATATATTTGTGTCACAGAGAAAAGTTGGCAATGAATTTTGCATTGTGTTAATTTCAGGATGTCCCACTTATACTCTACACGAGCACTATAAAGAACAATATATAAATAGAACCGCTCAAGCGCAGGGAACGCTAAGGTGATTACTACTTATTAGCAACGTCAATCTCACTCAGAAGGATACAGTGACACTGAGAGAGTCAAGATTTACCGGAATAGAATGTAATCATAGCTAGCAATAGAGAAATAGAATGTAATAATATCTAGCACTAGAGTAATAGAATCTATTGATATATAGCATTAGAGAAGTATAATGTATTGATATGTAGCATTAGAAAAATGGAATGTATTGATATCTAGCAATATAGAAATAGAATGCAATAATATCTAGCACTAGAGAAATAGAATGTATTTATATTTAGCACTAGAGAAATAGAATGTAATAATATCTAGCACTCGAGAAATATAATGTATTGATATTTAGCACTAGAGAAATAGAATGTATTGATATGTAGCACTAGAGAATTAGAATGTAATAATATCTAGCACTCGAGAAAAAGAATGTATTGATATGTAGCACTAGAGAATTAGAATGCAATAATATCTAGCACTAGAGAAATAGAATGTAATGATATGTAGCACTAGAGAAATAGAATGTATTGATATGTAGCGCTAGAGAAATATAATGTATTGATATGTAGAACTAGAGAATTAGAATATAATAATATCTAGCACTAGAGAAATATAATGTATTTATATTTAGCACTCGAGAAATAGAATGTAATAATATCCACTCGAGAAATAGAATGTATTGATATGTAGCACTAGAGAATTAGAATGTGATAATATCTAGCACTAGAGAAATAGAATGTATTGATATGTAGAACTAGAGAATTAAATTGTAATGATATCTAGCACTAGAGAATTAGATTTTATTGATATTTAGCACTAGAGAAATAAAAAGTATTGATATGTAGCACTAGAGAAATAGAATGTATTGATATGTAGCACTAGAGAAATAGAATGTATTGATATGTAGCACTAGAGAAATAGAATGTATTGATATGTAGCAACAGAGAAATAGAATGTATTGATATGTAGCACTAGAGAATGAAAATGTAATAATATCTAGCACTAGAGAAGTAGAATGTAATGATATACAGCACTAGAGAAATAGGATGTTTTGATATGTAGCACTAGAGAATTAGAATGTAATAATATCTACACTAGAGAAATACAATGTATTGATATCTAGCACTGCTGTCGTTTCTGTCTGAACGGTCAATGAGTCCGAGGGGTACGATGTAGGCTATGAGTGCCCGGGACGCACTCTTACCGATATGCGTGTATTAAGTATTAGTACATGCCTGCGTGATTGAATATATCAGAGGGGCACAATGTCAGTGAGCAAAACCTGAATGTCACAGAGAAGGTACGACTGCCGGAGATACAACACACCGATGCCCTTGTAGCAATAGGCGTATATGTGTACTAACAATTGCATACATACACTTGCAATGTCATCACTCAGAGGGGTACAATGTCACAGAGCAAGAACTGAGTGCCACAGAGAAAGCGAAGAGTGTCGGAGATACGACGTACCGATGCCGGTCATGTCGCAAAGAGTTGTTCGCACAGAAGCAGGCCATACCCCACGAAACGGGCAAGGGTCAAGAGGCCTTTACTTGGTACAAGCGCAATGATCGATACGATAAAAATGTAAGCTATGTATTTGTATGTGGACATGGGTGTATTGATGGTGCTAGTGTGTGTATTTGCAACGCTGATCACATTGGCAATGATGTGTGATGTAAGTGTTCTGTTCACGCCTTCGTGTATATGCAAATATGCACACGAGGAAGATTTCTGTCAGCAGAAATCAAGTGTGGGTGAAGGTGCCAACTAGACAACCCGTTTCAAAGGATCAACTTCTACTGGGTATGCACGCGTTCTGTGTGTCAGTGGAAGAGAGCCGTGCTCACCACCTATCCATGCAATACAGAGCAGATTTATACAAGTGTATATCGAGGCAGGTACAGGTTGTATATTCCTTAAAGTTGGGCGAAACACTTTGGTTTTGGGAATGGAACGATGAATATATACCCGAAACGAATGCTGTCACAAAGTCATACTGCACCGTACACGACCGCCTGCGTGTACAGGCCTGTTTGCTGTGCCTGATGCGGTGATGTTCTCCGCTTCTATGTGTATAAGACTAAAGTACACAAGTGTGTGTATGAACCCATCTAGCTGTAGGTAGCTGCTGCAAAGCTCCACAGCCATACGGTCAGCACGGCTTTAATCTCTACGGACGATGTGGTGATCAGACAGTCTCTAGTTTTACTTCAAATTGCGTACTACAAGTTCCCTGCCAGCTTGTACGGGTTCTGTGGTGTTGCCATATATATGCCTTCCTACACAGATGGATGTGCTCGTTCGCATATGCACTATCATGCGTCAATATATATATATATATGTATGTATGTATATATATCTACAGTCTTATCGTAGTCTGTCTGTACTCAGGTGCCTCTTTGAGTTTGGGTATTAATCATTTAGTACGGGGGGATGTGCGCGCGTGAATAATGTCTTACGGACAATGCAGCATCCATCTTCAGTGTTGGTCTGCGCCAGCACGGCGGGCGTACTCTACACCTACGCTTGTCGGTTCAAAACGCCACACAATCGAGTTTACGACAATAATTTAAAATATGACTTGTCACTTCGTTATGAACAGGCGCCGCCCACAGACATGTGCTCATCGCACTTCCTAGTGCCCATTAAGTGGATGGCCCAGGCGATAGTTGGCGATGGGGTTTACGACGGGAAAGTATGTGCAGAGCGGCATGCGTCGCTTGTTTTGAGTGTGTGTGCTTAAAATAGCCGTTGGTATTCAATACCACGGGATATGAAGTAGCACTGTTGCGTACACAAACAAGCATACGTTGTCTATGACGAGCGATGCTTAGCGCGATCTGTTGCACGCTTGCGGCCACTATGAGAACACATGCGGTTTTACTTAGTGTTTGTGTTTGAACAATACTCCGTTGCTACTTGTACATTACTCGTACTGTAATATCACACACTTGTTTGTCTGGACACTGCTCCGTGGCTACTTGTACGTTTCTCGTACTGTACTGACACACTTGTTTGTCTCACGCAGCTGTCATGTGACAACTGTAGTGCGAAGATCGGCAGCTTCAACTGGTCAGGTATGCACGCAATTGCATCGATGTGATCCATGTACACGCGTACATATACCAATGTGTTTGCCGTAGTTACGTATATCAAATTACCACGTCTGCAGGGATAGGTGTCTTTCACCATCACTATCCAAACACCAAGTGTGTTGTGAATACGTATTTCCGCTGGAATCAGTGGGGTTCTTGGTATTGATCTTTCTACGTCGTCCGCATATGCAGAATATGTATGGCATTGGATGGATGAGAGTATACTATATGCACACTCAAAGACACACCTCTGAATTAAATGACACAAGCATATCATGCTTTTGACAGTGATTATCTGGCTATACGTTCGAACATTATATAAAAGTCGTACAAACAATTGTTTGAATGGTATTGGTTTGTATGTACAGTTTTATACAGTTTTATACTCGATTCCGGCGCTTTCCTTTCATAGACAATCATATCAAGTGTTTTCCAACTAGAGACGCATATACGCACTCAGCTACTCACACCCAACTTCGACCCTCAACGCGGACTCGTATACTATAGTGAGGTGTCTCCAGTTGCAGTCCCGTAGTATTAGGTGTGAGTGTTTGTTTCAATTAACTTCACCCGCTAAAGCCAACTCACATACGCTCACCTTTCGCTTCCAGGTGCACAGTGCTCGTGTGGCGCTTGGGTGTCTCCTGCCTTCCAGGTGAACAAAGCAAAGGTGGATGGTATCATCAAGATGTAGCTGGAAATGGTTTCACATAGAGATGGTGTCGGGAGATGCAAGCAATGGCTACATTATGATCGAGTCCAAGTTATAGTTGGCTGAGGAGAAAGAAATGTAGAGATGAAGTATTATGAACCTTGCAAAATATTAGTGGTCTTAACAGACTATCAAAAACTGTACAGGATAAGCATCGAGATAGTCCAAGGGAAATTATACGGACGTCGATGATGGATCAATGCAGATGACGATAAAACAGACTAACGAGCACAATATGATATCATTGCTGAGCGATTACGGGGCGTTATGTTCATCTATTGCATCTGAATATGCTATCCGTTGATCACTTCACCACGGGATCATATAGTAGATTTCTCCTCGTTTATTGCATCTGAACATGTCATCTGTTGATCTCTCCACTATGGGATCATATAGTAGCTATCTGTTCGTTTATTACTATGGAATTTGTTGCCCGTCAATCACTTCACTACGAGATCATATAGTAAATGTCTCTTTGTCTATTGCATCTGAAAATGTCATCTGTTGATCACTTCAGTATGGGATCATATAGTAGCTATCGGTTCGTTTATTACTATGGAATTTGTTGCCCTTCAATCACTTCACTACGGGATCATATAGACCGCATTTCTGCAAACTAGGCATGGATCCTTTGAAACCCCAGAACCCCAGAAGAATTGATCGTCCCGAGTGCCGAGCGTGAGAGGGAGAATATGAATCAGTCTTGGGATAGCGCTCATACATTGAAAGTGCAGCGTGCGATGCCTAGTGATTAGCACGGCACTGTAACACCTTTAGGTCTGTGGGAGAGTTCGGATTCAGTCGACCGGTTGACAAAGTGGCGGTCTACAAGTTCGTGAGCGTACAAGTGTATAACACCCGTCATAAATTTTCTAAGAGAAAATACGTATTATAATATATGCGGATATACGTGCCAATACGAGTATATGCGTGTTTATATTCTGGTATAGAAAACGTCTGTGGTACCGCTTCTCTGTTCATAGACATAGTCTAATGTTCACATGTAGCTTTTATCTGAGAGAGAGAGAAAGGGCAAACGTACATCTAAGCACATGAAAGTACACATCTGACCTTTATCAAAGTATTTGTACATATAAATATGCTTGTACGCTTTGAAGTGAAGCATCATTCATGTGAGTATCCCTTGTAGGCGTAAGTGTGGATTAAACATCCTTTTGGCGTTTCACAGCTCTAAATATCTGTTGGGATACACGAATATTATCCGACAAAGTGTTCACACTCGCCATTAATTGCGATAACGGAAAGTACAGCAGGAATGCGAGCATCTCGAAAGATATGTGGATTTCACTTTAATATTTATTCTTTGGTGGTGGCACTGTACACCAATTCATATTCACTGAGCTTTCATGGCGGTATAAACGACACACAGCTAGATATCAGATCTATTGATCATGTCGGTGTATTGTTTGGAAAAGCGTATCCAAATTGCTCATGCACATGTTGAACGCCGTGTTAAAGTCATTCCAGCTGGCCGCTGTGAATCCAGGTGATAAAATGATTGCCAGAGTCTTTACATCAATATCCTCGTAGTATTGGCAGAACATAGCTGGGCAATCCTTGGGTTTCCCCGATTCGACTGGTGCTCCCAGTCTGTATTGATCCCATGTGGTAGCATCCAAGCCAAGCTCAGCCCAGACAGTTTGATAGAAAGTGGCAGGAAATTTGGCATCAACTTCGGGAGAGGCAAATTCGGGATACGCCAGTGTTAGTTCGCTGTAGGTCAAAAGATTCAACACTCAACAGCTGCATAGCAGCGTCACTGTGTCGCTATCAGTCTATTTATTTATCCAAAGCCATAAGCCAACTGATAACACATTTATCACTGACACTTTCCGGCGTCCGGTCACAATTTGAATTGTTAATGTTTTTGTTAAAAAAACAAAACAAAAAATAAATAAAAACAAAAACAACAATGTCCTTTGAACAATAGTCCAATCAGGCATTATTTTTTTTATCTTCTTCTCTAAAGGGTCATGACAACAATGGACATAATCTATTTAGTTTTTGCTGCAGCCTAAAAGGTTAAAAGCCTAAATAAAAACCCCCCCGGCCTCCCCCTCCACTGGATCTATTTATTAATTTTATTTCAAGTAGTCAAGTACGACAACTTCTGTCGATTCTTTATGAAATGAGTGGACTCTTTCAGCTATCAGTTGCGGAATCTAAAATTCTTTTGCGCCTCTTTGCAATTATATATTGTGATGTGACAACGTAAAGTCGTATACTTGTGATTTCACTGATTTGTGAATAGTGAGAGTAGTGAATAGATAAACACGGGCCATACTATTTCTTAACGAAAAAACAATAAACATACATCTTCTTTAATCGTCCATTTTTATAGATTTACAATATCTATATAGAATCAATATTGAAAAACATCAAAACCACAACTTTGAAATATGTTCATTCTATCGTCAATACTGCTAGTCGTACTATCCTTAGTATCTATAAAATCAATCGAAGCCAAATCGCTGGAAGTGAGAAACAAGTGCTCAGCTGTTAAGGACACGGTCATGGTAACAGATCCTGAAAGTAAATTAGCATCATGTGCAAAGAGCCCAGAGGACTGCAAATGCGCCGATATACTACCAATTGGAATTGCACACCTCATGACTTTTCAAGAATTCACACTTGAATCGTCCAAGCTATTCTTAGAGGTACATATGGCTTCGTTCAACGTGATGCCTGGGCAGAGCTTGGTTTGAATGCCATGACATGGGACGATTGCAGACTGGGTGCACCTGCCGATTTAGTAATGCCAAAGGACTGCCCGGCAGTGTTTTGTCAACACTATGAGGAGATAATAGTGGAGAACACTGAAGAAGGCCATTTTATCCCTCGGTTACACTGCGGCCACTTGGAACGACTTCACTGACAGGTATGCTACATGCCTCAGCAATATAGACGCGACATTGGCTACACTTACAGAGCCTCGGCACTAAATCTGCTATGAATCCACATCCAACCCCAGGTTGAGATCAAACCCGGTAGCTAAATGCAAAAGCTGACTATCCCGTAAAATAAATTGGGGATGTACCTCTTCTCGTTATGCATAGTGTATTTTTTCGTTATGAATAGTTCATTAATGTGATTTTTTTCATAGTATGGGACTTAATTCAAGTGAATACGCAATATCTTTTTAATTTCTGCGACATCAATTAGTAGTGGCGATTATTATGAATTTGTCGTCTGATGTGAAGGAGAGATATACGGATACGAGGCCGCGAAATGTCCAGAATGTAGAAATACAATTGTTGTACCGCGTATGACGTGTTGGGATCTGAAATATTTTACAACTTCCAGCATCTTAGAATGTAGATCAGGATCATAACACAAGCTCATCTGCTCGATGGATTCAAAGCCATACTTCTGGTATTTAAAAAATAATTGATTAGCACTTTTTGTAAATATCCTCGCGTAGGCTGAGTATAGCCGTCTGGGCACACATTTCTTAACTTCGCAATCATATTTCACTGTACATCTCGTCATCAATGAAAGTACATATTATAACTTGTTAGATATAGACCTGCCGCATTATGGTTGCAAACGGTGATTGCGTGACAGGTGTTCGTATGACAACGTTGAAAAATTTCCCGATTTGAGCTTCATGATCGGGCTGGTGTGCTCCTTATTCGGACAACAGTGAGTGTGACCAGCGCCCAATCATTATCACTGCAGTAATCGTAGACTTGGTTAATATGGCACCTATACTACATACGGAGCAACCAGAAGCAGGACCGAGCTGAAAATATTGGTGGTTCACCTACGATGGATAAGTAAGTCGTATACGAACGGGACATACAACTTGCAACAAATGGCTAGATAAATCAGTACACACTGTGCATCTAGAAAATCATATTCTAGATAATATCGTATACTCATACCTGGCTCGGCTCCATTCTACACGACGGCAATTACGGACCTACCGGGATTAAAAGATACTTGCTTCTCCAGATATTCGAGACTTATACCTCAAGATAGAATAAAGACCATCTACATTTCAAGGCGTAAGCTACGAAAGAATATCACGGCGCCTGGAAACGCTAACCACACAACAACTTTCAAGGTCAAAAGAACATATCCGGCAATACAAAATTACAAGTTAATGCTACTGTTTGCACAAGACGAATAATAATTTTTATGTACAATCTAAACTAGCAAGAAAGCGGTGACTGTGTACACAAACCTGAAGATTATAAAACTTAAATCTATATCTCGGTAAGAAATGTGTAATTATAAATTAAAAAAAGCACCGAATCCGTGCGAGAATATTGCAAACTTTCATTAATGTGTGAGATTCACAAACCTGATCATGAGATACAATAGTCACTTGACTGATGATTGGTACTAAAAATACAATTTACAAAAAGCACTTCCACAAGATTTATAAAACTGGTCAACCATAACTGACAGAGATACCTAAATGCAGGAAAGTCAGTATTCATGGCTGACAAGCAGAGATACGAACATATAAGCTAAACACGCAATTGATAACCCAAACAAATGACAGAAGTTCGGATTATATCAATCATCTATATTCACAGTAAACAAAACAAGTTAAACTCGTAACCTTCATCAGTCCCGACTTTACTCTCACTCGACGACACTATGCCGCTAATTCAATTCCCATCCCGGTGTGGGGTACTTCTCCAATATACAACACCGTACTCAGGGATCTCATGATTGATATTCAAACAGCCGCAACTTTCCACATCTTCATCGGCCCGGTACATTGTAGAACACACCGAACCGACAGACTGGCCAGGACTGTTGGTAACGACAGTCAAGTATGGTTATACATGCGTGTGTTATATATGCAATTGCAGAAAACATACTTGCACACCCATACAAATGTATGTGACAAGCCAGGCTGAGTTGAACATGAACAAGCCTCCCACATATGTATATCGCAACTACACCGACTACATGCCAGGCTGATGTTCCATGCTGCCAGGCAACCCCATTCTAATTATCTTGCATCGACGATCTATATATATATTATTCTGGATTTATCTATGTACTTGCATACTACCCTTACAAAGTTGTATACAAGCGCTCGGCGATCTTCAGCTGCGTGCGCGTGATGTTCGACAGGTACACGATCATCATCACATCCAACAGACTATTATTAAACATCTTGTCTAGAGTTAAGCCTTCAACCTCGGGCACTGAAGAGATCACCTCCATCAGGTGTCTTCCCACTTGATTGTTGGGTGTTTCCAAGCGACCATCCAGCACCTGTGTAACATAGTCCTTCACATGGCCTACCATCTCCAACATCTTAACAATGGCCTTCTCTAATTGTTCAGTTTCGGTCATAAGCGCAAGTGTACCATTAGGAGCATCCTTGCTTCGCTCAAGTGTATCTAAACCAACACGTTCCGCCTCCAAATAACGGAGCTCGCTTTCCACAGGTGTAAACACCACACCTGTCGCATTGTTGGGAGCTCCAATAGGACTGGATGAATAGCACTTAACAGCAAGTGGATCTCCAGATTTCAGCTCAGTATTCAGTGTGAGATGTACAGGTGAGCGTGTTTCCCTGCCATAGAACTCGTGTATAAGCACACTGTGTGACGAGATAGTATTGCCAGTTGCATACCAACCCACTATTTGCTCACGTGGGTTAACCTTCTGATGAAGCTGGAACATTGTCTGATGGAACTCCATGTTCACGGCAACTTGATCTTCTGTCTCGCCATGAGGAACTGGGAAACAGTTTGTGACGTGAACAACACCCTCTTCAGTGTGTCCTAGTAATGTACCGATAACACGCCCTTGTCCTGCATCTCTGCGCATAAAGTGATCGACAATCGAGAATAAAACAACTGGACGGATCTTCACGGATTGGTTCAGCTTGGTATCAGCCAAGAATAGGGGCTGGGTTGGTGTGGCCGCCATTTTGTGTGTATATGCTAATTTGTGTAAGTATGTGGCTACAGAAGTGTACTTCTGTCTATATTTCAACGTAGATACGTTGTACGTTGATAGGTATGCTTGCAGTGTGTTGTAATAGCGTACATTTCCATTAAAGTTTGCACAAATATTTTCCCTGTGCAATTTCACCTGATTCTGTGTATATAAAAATAGACCCACGCGCCCAAAAACCGCCCTAAAACCCACACCGCCCAATACCGCTTTCTCAATTCGGGACAATTATACAGTATATTTGAGGGTTTATCTCAGTTAGAAACGAAGTTTTTTATTTGGAGCTCAGAAACTCAGAGGTCGAGGACTCGAGGCGCGAGGGCTAACCTCATATCATTATAAGTTGCAACGCAAATGAACGATCCGTTAAACGTTTAAAATTAAACGTATACTTATTTTTCAGTATCCCGTTTATATTGGTAGTGCCATATACCAGGTCAGGCAGTGGGCATATCACTACCAGAATTTTATCCTGATGACATGTTCTGATATTTAAAATTGAGACCAAAATTTAGGAATAGGTGCACTATTCAGGCCACAACATACGGGTCAAAATAGGCCAAAATACGTTGCAACGCTAAAAAAAATCCATTAAAAACGTTGAAAAGTCAACTTTTATCCGTGATGCCAAACGTTATGAGGTTAGCTCGAGGGGTCACGTGAAAAGTAGGGGTCCAGAACCCAAAAATTGATGACGCGTTCATCATCATCATTAGATCTGTGCAGTATCGTCTGTATGTACCATATGTACACTAAATTTGTGCTATTTAAGGTCACCAGGCACCAGCAAAGAGGTATCTGCTTGATTACCAGCGTATCACATGTTGTATGGTTGTGTAAGAAGTACTCATTTCTATACATATTATGGGCAATACTCGCCGTGTTTAATAAATCATAATAGCATATCAATAGTACACAGTCGAAAATAATCTGATATTTATAGTCTTCCATTTATTGGGTTCGAGCTTCTTATTGCCCGTGGTTGTGTTGTTAAATTAAAATATATCAATTATGTCGGTCATAGTTGGACTACAGGATGAGGTTATACCTCGCAAAGTGGCACATCAGTTACCTTGGTGGGAAAACAGGCTCGGGGGATTCCCGGTATGTGGCAATACAGTTACTTCTATGCTATGTTTTCCGTTACTAGTGAACAGTGAATGTGAATGATAGATATGCATACACACATATAAATACAAAGACATACACACACGCACACATACATGTATACACAAATATATACACAACATTCACACATATATATATATATATATATATATGTGTATATGTATATGTATATTCAAGTATATGTTTATATATATACATATATATATATACATATATACTGATATATATATATATATCCATATAAACAAATATATATATATATATGTATATATATATATTATATATACATATATATATATGTGTGTGTGTGTGTCAAGGTCTTGTTAGTGCAAATGCAACTTTAAATTTGGAAACTCGTATACCGCCGTGTTATGTATACATATTGTTCGTCTTTATCCAGCCGGACAACGTTAACGAACTTCATTACATTATGTTGATGTGTGTTGGGAATAGCTATGGGCGGTGTTAGGTTTGACAGAGATACTGCACGCTATTGGTTGGTTCTATTACGATATAAAGGAATAAAATAAATAAACATAAATTAGAGGTTCTCGCGAGTTCTCATTCCCAACGCTACCTACAAGTAGCCCACATGAGCCAGATGTGTTCCTGCCCGACGATTGCACGTAGGGTTTTTATGTTTGTATTTGTGCCTTTGCGTCGTGCTTGTTGCCCCTAATGCTGTATCCATTGCAGTCCAATGCCCCGTGCGCTGGCATGCAGCCGCGTGTACTACTGCTGAGTTTGTGCAAGCAATCGGCTCTTCGTGTAAAGTTAAGGTCAGTCGTTCGACACACACTTCAATTGTATTCTGTGTCTTATTACGAAATGCCATAGTACAGGTTATCCGCGTAGTTTGACGTCTATCACCTTGAGAGTACAGTATGCTCTCGCGCGTGTTGTGTGGTGTGCGTGTGTATGGTGTGTGTGGTGGGGGGGGGGGATTCCTTCATATTTAGATCGAATATTCGCTTTGTAGATGCGTGCTTAGTTCATGGTCACGCGTAATGCATATGTAGTTGCGCTTCTGCACCTATATCCCGTCCACCACTGCAATGCCCGACGCCCCCACGATGCTGTGGCAAGGCGTCTCAGAGTTAAGTTTTAATCTGTTCCTGGCTAAATGGTATATATGACGGAGCGAATACCTTTGCACGACATCTGTTAGGTTACTATTGCATGCCTATGTTATGTACTATGTCCTGGTTTTACTATCAGCTCACGCCCAGTCAATATGTATGTCCCAATTCACTGCTATACACACAGACCTGGCTGTCCAAAGAATCTCCTCCGGCCAGCACACTCAGGTGCAAACGGTGTGGGCTGAAATTGGCTCTGATTATACAAATCAATGCGCCGAGCACAGACAGCGAGACTGAGCAGCGGGTTTTGTATCTGTACGGTTGTACAAAGTGGGCGTGCACGAATGAGGTGAGTCACGCCATCACTGCTTTGCATACGGCGTGGTGTTGCAAGCCAACATTGTTTGCCCATTGTTTGCCACTTGAGTAACCATTTAGCCTGGTGCTAGCTTCCCGAATATGTGTAACATTTACATGTTCCTGCGTTACCGCTCTTAACTCATTTTTGTGCATTGGGCTCACTGCCTGAATGTATGTAGTGTGTATGTTTAGTGTGTGTTATGTGTATGTTTTGTGCGTGTAATGTGTATGTTTTGGGTGTGTTATGTGTATGTTTTGGGTGGGTTGTGTGTATGTTGTGTGTGTGTTATGTGTATGTTTTGTATGTGTTATGTGTATGTTTTGTGTGTGTTGTGTGTATGTTTTGTGTGTGTGTCGTGTGTGTGTAATGTGTATGTTTTGTGTGTCATGTGTATGTTTCGTGTGATTTGAGTATGATTTTTTGTGTGTTTTGAGTATGTTTTTTTGTGTGTTTTGTGTATGTTATGTGTATGTTTTGTGCATGTTGTGTGTATGGCCCCGTGAACGAGGCGCTTTTGCTAGCCTCAGGCCCATTGAGCATCTTACGACTATTCCTATACACCTATTGTGTGTTCTTGCAGGCAGGTGGCTGGTGCGTGCTGCGAGGTGTGAGAGCTACCACCAGGACAAGCGCAGCGGGCCCTACCCCACCGAGCAACACCACAGCCGCCAAGCCCAGTACCTCCTCTTCTACTACAGCCAACACACTACCCACACCCAGCACCACCACCACACACGGACTGACCTCAGGCTCATACAAATCAGCAGCGCTGAAGGTCCCCGCAGAGGATGCGTGGGGTGTGGAGGCGGACGATTGGGGTGTGGATGGCGATGCAGGACAGGACAAGGCGTGGGGGGCGGATAACAGCGACGGGGCCGAGGAAGTCTCCATGACGTAAGTGGTGACGTATGTGGTGGTGCATGTGGGTGTAGGTGTTTGGCATGATCCATAATCTAGAAACAGAGACCAGTGCTGCACCTGTTGTAGGGCCGAGGAAGTCTCCATGACATAAGTGGTGAAGTAAAAATGATTGTATGATTGTGTGTTTGTGAGTGATCTGTTAGCGTGTTAACATGTTCTACCCTCTTCTCACCATTTCAGAGAACTTACGGATCTTTTGAGTAAGCGAGATGCCCACATACAGGCGTTGCCTAAGAATATACTGAACAAAATTTTGGTCCAAAAAGCTGAACCCGGTCCGAAAGAGGAGGCCGAAGACAGCCTGAGTGGCGCAATGGCGCGGTTGAATGTTGATGACAAACAGGACTGGTCCTCCGACACGGGTGCAGGTGCGTGGTCTGCTTGTATGTCCTGTGATTGCTGTATCTGCTACGTAGCAAGTCCTTTTCCGTGGTCAGGAGAGAACTTGTACTGTTCCTGTCGTTGATTTGGTTGCGTCTGTATTTCACTTAATTGTCCCATTGAATTGAGTTGCGATCCATTTTCGTTCCTCCGTCGTGTCGTTTAGCTTTCGGATATTGTCGGATGCACCCGTGTGTTGTTGGATCCACCCGTATGTTGTCGGATGTACCCGTATGCTGTCGGATCCACCCGTGTGTTGTCAGATCCACCCGTATGTTGTTGGATCCACCCGTATGTTGTCGGATCCACCCGTATGTTGTCGGATCCACTCGTATGTTGTCGGATCCACCCGTATGTTGTTGAATGCACCCGTATGTTGTCGAATGCACCCGTATGTTGTCGGATCCACCCGTATGTTGTCGGATCCACCCGTGATGCACCCGTATGTTGTTGGATCCACCCGTATGTTGTCGGATCCACCCGTCTCCCTAGTATACATAGCAGTTTGCACTATCATCAATTGTCTGCTCACATGGTACCGAACTGTTCTATCAGACACGATGGGTGATGACGTAGCCTTCCAAGGATACTATATATGGGCATCGGGTGAACCAGAGCCGATGAAAGCCTCTAAGCACGAGTTGAAGCTACTTAAACAGTATGAGCAAGAGAACGGCAAAGGTGAGTGCTGCTAGCGGCTGTGTTGGGTTGTGTAGGGTTGGGTTTAGTCACAGGGCATTCGTTGTTGGTGTTGTATAGGGTTCTGCTTGTTATTCACTTCTCCGTTTAGGCACATCTTGCTTTCTCATATGTTATGTACTAGTTATAGATGGTATGTATCTGTTATAGATGGTACGTAATAGTATAAGATAGTATGTATTTGCTATAGATAGTATGTTTTTGTTATTAAATGGTATGTATGTTATAGATGGTATGTATTTGTTATAGATGGTATATACATGGTAGAGATAGTGTGTATTTGCTATAGATAGTATGTATCTGTTATCAGATGGTATGTGAATGTTATAGATAGTGTGTATTTGCTATAGATAGTATGTATTTGTTATAGATGGTATGTACATGTTAGAGATAGTGTGTATTCGCTATAGATAGTTTGTATTTTTTAATGTGTTATAGATGGTATGTATGTGTTATAGATAGGGTGTATTTGCTATAGATAGTATGTATTTGTTTTTAAATGGTATGTATATGTTATGGATAGTATGTATTTGCTATAGATGGCATGTATTTTTTATTGGATGGTATCTGTATGTTATAGATCGTGTGTTTTTGCTAGATAGTATGTATTTGTTATAGATGGTATTTATATGTTATAGATAGTGTGCATGTGCTATAGACCGGCCTGCATTGGTTATTTTCCCAATCTTCAACACTTAAATTCAGTTCTATACCCTCATGCACAGAATCTTAATATACTTCACTACGTATAAACCGTTCAGCCATCACACTTACACACACGTTCGGTTCTCAGCCTCGTTTGACTCGCAGTCAGAGGAATGGCAATCCGAGAAATACGAGAGCGTGGGTGGCGCACCCGATGCGAAGGCGTTCTATCGATTCGTTAAACGCTTAGAGCGAGAGCCCAACCAGGTGTTCCGGTATGTATGTGACTTTCATGTTTGGAAGCTATATCGCCGATAAAGCTCAAATACGTATGTATTGCTCTGTTGACACGGGTTAGCTATGTCTTCATGTAGTACGTAGTGCCCGGTATACAGTATACAGACTATCAAGTGTCAAAGTGTCAATAGCAAGTGTCGGATATGACTTATTCGTCTGCGCGCCCATATATAGTGTGCTGCTGGTACGCATCTGTGCGTGACTGCGCACACACCAATAGTCCTGGCCACAGAGCCTTTTAGCGAGGGCTTACCTCTTCCTAGATAAAAATTGAAGTGAGAAATGACTGTGTGTATACACCTTGCGAACGTATCGTACAATGACATGGCACCGACATGGTACGATGACCAACGCGCGCGTGTGTGTGTGTGTTATGTGTATGTGTTGTGTGTGTGTGTGTGTGTGTGTTGTAGGTGTGCTCGTATGTGTGTGTGTGTTGTAGGTGTGCTCGTGTGATTGGGGTTACATGTGCACGCACCATTTGTCATGCCTAGCGTATGCAGACGAACACCCAGACAATAAGCACGTCACCGAAAATACGACACCCACGAACTGGCCCTGTTCTAAAATTAGCCTGCTCCCTTGCGGTAGGTATGAGTACGCGGGCGAGTCATTGAATACCAAGGCCACTTCGCCGAAGGTCCCTCTGTGTGAGCACTGTGGGGCACCGAGATTCTTCGAGATACAATGCTTCCCAAAGTAAGTGTGGCATGTACGCACTTTTATGACCCTTCGAGATGCAATGCTTCCCAAAGTAAGTGTGGCATGTACGCACTTTTATGACCCTTCGAGATGCAATGCTTCCCAAAGTAAGTGTGGCATGTACGCACTTTTATGACTGCTGCATCGAATATTTTTTTCAAGTCAGTGAGCTGTATATGTACTTTCATATCTGCTTCATAGAGTGTGTATCAAATGAGTGAGCTGTATATGTAGTTTCTGATAGGTTTCATAGAATACGTATCAAATGAGTCAGCTATTCCGTTCACTTGCAGGTTATGTGATGGGTTGTATGTATGTGCAGTGTGTATAGGTATATAGATATGCATACAGCAGGTTGTAATTGTCTTGCATAAGAGTTCTAAATGTCTTTGTGTGCTTGTTAGCACCCCCTCCTCCATGCATCGTCCCACACAGAGACCACTTTATCTCACGGTGGAGAGTGATCGTCCTACAAATCAACTGCACCATCTCACCTTGAACATGGTATCAAGCACGTGCGACACATGCGTTTGATATATACATACATTGGCAGTATTACTCATCTGGAGTGGCTTTCTTGGTTGCAGGCTGCTGTCCTGTTTATCTTTAGAGGACCGGTCCACGGGTTCAGGTGCAGAGGCCGATGATGGTGAGTGATATATGTAGAAGCATAGTGTAGTAAGCGCAGCACATATCAAATTCAAAACAGAATCACATGACAAAGTACATATCACTATGTATGTATTATATATATATATATATATATACGTATATATATATATGCATATGCATATATGCATATACATATGTATATGTATATATATATATATATACAATATATTTATCTGTATAT